ATTTATGAACTGTGTGATAGATACAAATGGTAAAAATAAATGTATAAGGGGGGATAGCTGTAGGAATAGTCAACAATATTCTATATGGTTAGTTCCATCTTGTATTGTCAATTTTGTCTTTAAAATCTTAATCTTTTCTCCACAACCAAGAGTTCATGATAAATAAGATTCATTTTCAAAAACCCATTAAAGGTATAGAATGATTTTAAGAGGAACATCAGTCTTCTAACTAAACTTATCCCTAGATGGACACAGATACTTAAGTATTAACAGTATGTGTTTACTTTGGAAATATTCTAATGAAAACCTGTATGCTTGAACTATCCTTTGAATGTTAATTATTTCAGAAAATTGATCAGGTAATCACAGAAATGAAAAGATCCTTTTTTTTTTTTTTTTTGGTATACATTCCACAGAGCCTTCTTTACCTCCTTATCCCTGAGGCTGTAGATCAGAGGATTCGGCATGGGCATCACCACCGTGTAGAACACAGAAGCCACTTCATCCCGATTCATGGAGTAGCTACATGTGGGTCTCAGATAAGTATAGATGGAGGTTGCATAGAACAGAGTTACAGCGGTCAAGTGGGAGGCAGAGGTTGAGAATGCTCTGCGCCTCCCCTCCCTGAATGCATTCGAAAGACGGAGAAGAGAATGTAGGCGGAGGGTGTGAGGTGGACCAGCAGACTTCCCACCATGTTCACACCAGCAGAATTGGAAAGAATGCTCTCATGCAGGCGTGTGTCGGCACAAGAGAGCTTAAACAGAGGGGGCTTGTCACAGAAGAAGTGATGGACGATATTGGAGCCACAGAATGGTAACCTGTTTATATAACTTGTGTTAACCATGGAGTTCGGCAGTCCTGCTCTAAAAGCCCCAGCTGCCATTTTAAGGCAAACTGTCCTAGACATGATTAAAGAGTATAGAAGTGTATTACATATGGCCACATAATGGTCATAGGGCATTAACCCAAAGAGGATGCATTCAGTTGTTGCCAGGGCGACAAAGAAATATACCTGCAGGAAGCATCCAGCAAAGGAGATGTTTTTCTTCTCAGACAATAAATCTACCAGCATCTTTGGGGTGATGGTGGATGAGTAGCAAACATCCACAAAGGACATATTGGCCAGGAAGAAACACATGGGGGTGTGAAGTCAGGGACCAGCCTGATCAGCAGGATCTCATCTCCACATTCCCCAAAAGAGTAAGAGTGTAAATCACGAAAAATAGCAAAAAGAGCATGATCCGAAGTTCCAGGGTGTCTGCTAATCCCAGCAGGATGAACTCAGTCAGTGAAGCGTAGTTTTTTCTGATCATTTATTGCAAACGACTTGGTTATAACTCTGCATTATGTTTAAATATTTTCCTCTTCAAAATATTA